AGGTCACTCTCACGCTCCCAAAGTGAGGAGCCTGAAGTGCGTGACACGGTGCACGTGTAGGGGTCCCCTAAGCTTCCTGTGTGTGAAGGCTGATGACCCAGGGCGCTGTACTCACCAGAGGACCTCAGCCCTGGGCCCCTTAGGGGCTTTGAGGATGAAGGGGACAGAAGCCATCTTCCACTCCTGGCCAGGCAAGAGTGACATCAGCCAGTCACCCAGACAGAGAGGGTGGCAGAACAGGAGTGGAGCACAGCTGAGCAGCGAGGCCGCTTCGGAAAGTGATGCGGTGGCACGGGGGCTTTGCAAGCAGGGACCTCGTCTTGGAAGCCAAGGAACCACAGGAGTCTGGGCAGAGGGTGCAGTGGTGGCGAGCGGAAGGTCCCAGAAGTCTCCTGTCCTGAGATGTGACTGGTCCCGGATGCCGTTCTCCCGAGTAGGGAGATCTATTGGTCTACTGATGAGGCTAGAGGTTCGGCTCGAGGTGCCTTGCATCCCCCTCCAGCCTCCCTTCTCAGCCTGCTTCCTGGCTTCAGTGAGCTGAACACTGTCCTGCACCGGGCTGTAGACCAGGGCTTGTGGCCTAGAGCCTCGGCCAATCTCTCAAGCTGTGGGTGCTGAGTATTTTATCCCGGAGACTAGAAGTGGCAGGATGAATCCCAGAGCGGCCCTGTGCCCAGGGAGCAGAGGCCGGAAGAGGGGTCACCGTGGAGCTAACAGGGAGCTGGGAAGCAGCCGGAGATCAGAGCGAGTGAGAGGGAGGAGGAGGGCTTCCCAGTGAGCTCCACATCTGGGGAGTTCCAGGTGTGGCCCACAGCACCGCGTCCTCCACAACATCCCAGCATGGCCGAGGAAGAGCCCCAGCTTGGGGGCTGCAGAGATGAGTGCCTCACAAGCTCAGAATCACAAGATTTCCCATGGTCCCAGTGAAAACACCAGAGTTAACACGGTTGTAGACTACACCACACCAAAGTTATTGTTCTTATTATGATGTTATGACTATGATAAAAGAGCTTTTTTTTTCAGTCAGGCTTGGAGGTGCATACCAGGAACCCCAACATTCTGGAAGGCTGAGGCAAGATGATTGCAAGTTTGAGCCCAGCCCAGGCAACCTACAAAAACCAGTTTCAAAATAGAAATAAAAAGGGCTGGGCGTGAAGCTCCGGGCAAAGAATCAAGTTCAGTCCCCAGCACTGTCAACACAAGCCACGGAGACAGCAAGAGCAAGCACGTCCTGGGGCTCCAGGGGTCACAGAGAATACACACGGGTGCACAGTGCCCAGGTCACCTTGCCATGCACCATCCTGCGATTGGGGCCGAGGGGCATGCACCCTGCCTGTCATGCGTCCCTGTGGCCAACCCATCGCCCGAATGGGGCTACGCGTTTTACAACAAGAATACTTGGTTCTGTCCATTTCTCTGCTCTGCGACCAGCTCTCTAAAGACCCAATACAACTGTATTCACTTACCAGTTTTGCTGTCCCTGGTCCACTGTTGGATTCCCTCTTCATGTCCCCTTTTCCTCTGTTCAGCTCCTTCTGACGAGAGCCCAGCCACATCACAGTGGACAGCCACCTCTAATCACTGTCACCCGGAAGCACCTAGAATAATGTCTGGTGCTGGCGCCACGCCGCGCCACCCCAAGCGCCCTGTGGCCTTAACCCTCACAGTGGGCCTTCTACATTTTTGGCCATAATAGATCTGCAGCCTATGTATAGCTCATTTTGCTTTTTAATTCACATTTTCATGATAACTTCTAACTTTGACTCCTCCTCCACATACCGAGCACACATCTTGGATTAAGCCGCTGCCCAAGGCTTGGCCACAGCTAACTGCATGCCTGTTTCACTTCAGAAAAGAAGTGGTATTTTCATTGAGATAGCAATACATCGCAAAAAATTGGGGGGAAAAAGTGATAATGTACATACATAGAGAACCATTGGTCTATTTTTATTTTTAGATTTCTGCATTTTTTAAAAACTAGGTTTAGTCTAGATTTATTTTATTAAATTCCTGCTTTTGTATTTGCATATGCTGTTCCATTGTATCTGCTGGCAGTTTTGTTTATCTGTGAAGACGACTCAGTTGCCGGAAATCACCGAGGCCCTAAGCAGCCGTCCTCAGGGACTCTTCTGCTTTTGCAGAGACGGTGACCTCACATGTCAGCAGAGATAGTCTCACCTCTTCCAAATCTTATGCTCCCAATTGTCTGGGTTAATGCTCTAGTACAAAAACCAGGCATGCAGATTGCAGTCTGGCAGAGCGCACAGTGCTGGCGAGCGGAAGGTCCCCGAAGTCTCCCGTCCTGAGAAGTGACTGGTGCCAGGCTCTTTCTCCCGAGTAGGGAGATCTATTGATCTACGGATGAGGCTAGCGGTGCGGCTGCAGGCGCCTTGAGTCCCTCTCCAGCCGCCCTTCCTCTGCAGGCAAGAGAGATGCCATCCTCTCTCTTCCTCTGCACCGTCCCTTACTCAATTCCTCTTCTTTTTCCTTTCTCTTCTCCTTTGATGATGGTGAGACCACAAAGGTTTCGCTATTATAAGAAAGGTGTGGCTTTTGGTATAAACTGTAATGATCTTTTTCAAAGAAGGAATCTGACATGGTCTTATACTGCATTTTGGTAAATCATGAGTGTAGAATTTTGTTAAATGTTTTCTTGACATCTATCAAATTGATAACCAGATTTTCTTCTTAGAATCTTCCCTAGTCCCGAGTCACCTTTTCATTTCTGGAATAAGCACTGTTAGGTCCCAATAAATCCGGGCTTAAGCAGGAGGCTCGATTCAATCCCCATCGTTTTGTTTGGTTAAGGTGGACAGATATGAACAGGTGAGACTTCTGCACATAACATGAGCCCTCGTGGCCTTCTGCTTGGAGAGTTCTGGAGCGTTTTAGGGAGCACTGCAGTTTTCTTAGGCGTAGTGGTTTGCTAGAATTCCCTAAGAATAGGTGAGAGAGAGAGTGCTTAACACTCTCGTGGCTTTCTCTGCTTCTTCTGTGGACACTGGTCCTGAGCAAACACTCTGCCTCTCCTGGGATCACCTTCAGGGAGCTGTGGTTTCCTCTGAAGGCGCCCTTCTATCCAGGCTGTAAAAGTGAGCTGCAGAATTTTCTGCTCAGCATGTGACTTGTTTTATCCCTTCTTTTGTAAGGGTTATTTTCACATCAACTCCTCATTTTGGGTACGTGGTACTTTTGTTTCATGTTTTTCTCTCCTTTTTAAAATTAAGATGGGAGCTGGGTTAATGCTCAGCAGCATAAGTGCCTGCCTAGCAAGCGCAAGGTCCCAAGTTCAATCCCTGGTACTACAAAAAATAAAATAAAATTAAGATGACCATCGACTTGGCAAATTATTCATTTTTTGATTACAGTTTTTACTGGTATGAATTTTATATCATTGTATTACATTTCCATCATTGCTATTTTCAAGATGTTTTGAAACTTTGTTTCAGTTTTCCCCTTTGAGTCTCGGGTTATTCAGTGCCTGACAGTCGTTGGGTGAAATCACACAGAATATTCATGAAAAATCCAGTGAGGCAAGCCCGACACCTGCCTCGCCGTGCCGTGTTGTTTCTGCTTTAAGCTTATGTTTAAATCACTGACATTTTTTTTAAAATGAGCATTTACTTTATTGTAGGTTGGCTATGAGCGTTATGAATGAGTCTTTTGGAGAGTTGAAGGGTTTTGCATAAGTTCCAAAATATGATCAATTTTTAAGAAAAGCCCATGTCTCCCGGGAAGGCGATGCATCCACTCTATAACCTGCTCTCTGAATCCCGTATGCCTTGACCCGGGCGACCCGGGGACCCAGCCCCTAGCTCCTCTGCTGCTCGGCTATAGGCTGGGAGAAAATTGCCTTTTATAGATGTGTTTTGAGCCTTTGCACAGCTGCCCCAGCCCCACGACAATAGCCCCTGCTTTCTTTTTGTTTATTTTGATCACACCAGCATCCGTGACTTTTTACATTTAAGTTTTTGAGTCAGTAGTTTCAGCTCTGTCTTCCAAGTGGCAGTGCTGGGCTTTGGTCTGTCCGCCGAGCTGATCTTTTTGGGGGTGAGTTGAGGTAATGTATATTTATCAATTTAGCCAATGTGTTTGACCTTCCATGTTGTTTATATTTCAATATGCATTTTTAAAATTTTTAACTAATTTGTAAAAATATAAATTTGTACATACGTATGAGCTACAATGTGATGCTTCAATATTTCTATACATTGTATGATGTTCAAATCATGTTAGACACGTTTTTATCCTCCAGTAAGTATTGTTCCCTTAAGGTAAAAACATTCAGCATCCCTTCTTCAAGGGATTTGTTTGTTTTGAGACAGGGTCTTGCTATGCAGTTCAGGCTGGCCTTGAGCTCACTTTGTAGCCAGGCTGGTCTTGAATTTGCAGAGATTCTCCTGCCTCAGCCTCCTGAGGGCTGGGATTACAGATATGTACCACCTCGCTGGGCCTCTTCAGCTTTTGAAATGAACAGTGCACTGCTCCACCCTGTGGACCCCTGAACTCTCCCCTCCTTGCCCTCCCTTCCTCCCTACACAACCTGGTAGCTGTGGCTGAGTGCCCTCAGCCCCCAGAACCCCCCAATCCACTCTCCTCTCCTCTGAGATCAACTCCTCTGGGCTCCCCATGGCACTGAGACGCAGTGGCCTTTGTCTCTCTGCACCTGGCTTCTTTTGTGCAGCATAATGAACCCCACTTCCATCCCACAATGAAAAGCTAAGCTAATCCAGGAGACAGTGGCTTTCTGATTCCTGATCCAGAAGAAAATGAGTCTTGTCCTGGACCAGGGGCTTCTGGGGTGAGCTGCAGAGCCTGGTGGATGCCCCCCAGGAATGAGGGTCCCGGGAGAATTGGGCCCCTGAGCTTCGGAGGAGAAAGGTACCACAGCCAGCCAGGGCCTTCCCTGTCCTGGCTGCACCCACAGTCACACCCAGAGCCCAGCCCCGTCCTATTCCTTCCTGTTTCTCATCTACACTTTCTCTGCCCTGGTCCTGCAGAAGCTTGAATGGCATTTGCCACGCACTGATGAGAGAAGCTAGCCCAGGGCACAGCGGCTCCGGGAATCTCAACAGCCCCTGAGGCCTGGGCACCTGTCAGCAGGGACACTGTGGAGGATGCGGCATCAGCACAGGCCTGGTGCCGCCCTCCTGCGTCCTGTTCGGCACAACTTTCAGGCCTGGAGTGAGATCCACAGACACCCAGCAAGGAAGATAGCGGAGGGCCAGAAAATGCCCTGCAGGCCGAGTCAGATCAGACGCCTGCTCCCACCTCGAGCCTGTCAGGACGTCAGCCAACCCTGCTGGCCCTCTGTTTCCACCCCAGTAAAGCTAGCACTGTGACAACTGCTAGGGTTGCTGGCATTCAGTGAGAGCGAAGTCAAATGATCCCTTGTCACCAGGGGTAGTTCCCGTAGAGTGAGCGGTCCAAGCCCCCAGCCCCCAGCTGTGAGGGGCGCGCATGGCTCTCGGAGAGCTCTGCGGGCACCAGCTGCGTCGAGCCGCACAAGATCCTGCACGTGAAGTCATCGCAAGGCCTGCAGGACCGTCGCTGGGCGCGGTGCAGGGGCCTAGAGCGCCCCTGAGAGCCTCCCGTCGCGCCAGCCAGTGCCGCTGTCCCCTGCGCTCACATCTCGCCTTCAATTCGAATAAAACCGAACTATTTCGTGCCTTTTATTGTCAATCAGTGGTCGTAGATAATTAAGACTCTGTTAATTCTTAGCCAACAGCGTAATTAAGAGGCTTCATGATGTCGGTGTAGGGCGGCAGCTCCGGCACTCCCTGGAGTTGACTTAGAGTCACGCGTGATCGCATTAAAACTGCACACTCCCTGGCTTCCGGCCGAGGCATCGCGGGAGTCGCGAGGCGGCGCGGGGGCTCTGCACAGAGATCTCCAGGTGATCCTGGTGCACCGGTCGGTGGGGAGGCGAAGGGCAGTGGCGCGCGGGCTTCTCAGAGGAGGACCGGCAGGCAGAAGACAGAGGAGCCCTACGCGCCGCGCAGCCGGGCGGCCGGGAGCAGGAGCTCGCCACTGCGCAAGGCGGACGGGGCGGCGGCGTCCGAGCGCACCCTGGGAAGGCAGCCCCAAGGGCCCGCGGTCCTTCGATGGTGCACTCGCATTGTGCAGAAGAAACCCCCGAGACTTAGGAAGGTGGCCTGCTTGCTCAGGGCCCCCCGGATTCTCCATTCTTGAGGACACACGTACAGGCCAGCGTTCCGGGGTGAGCAGAGCCCGGGGCAGGTCCCTGAGGAGGACTTGGCGAGGCAGGAGGTCTGCGTGCGGCCCCTGCGCCTTCCTCCGCCACGGGCCGCGCCCTCGCTGCTCCTGCCTTGGAGCAGCCGACCGGGGCCCGCAAGCCCCGGAGCCGTGAGCCCGCGAAAACTGTCCCTTCCGCTGTGGGCGTCGGGCGTTGCGTCCAGTGATGGGGACCGGCGCATCCCAGCTGCCATCCGAGCCAGGGCCTGAGTCTGAGAAACTGACGCCCAGCTCGCGGAGAGGCAGGCGGAAACCCTCCCTCCTCCACGTCGCTCCTGCTCGCGCGCCTCACAGACGGACGGATGCTGCCGCGCAGCCCGAGGATGCGGCCGGCCGGCGGGCTCCGCGCTCGTGCGCTAGGCCGGGCAGCCTTGCGCGGTCCGCCGCAGGCGTGGACACGGGCCGGAGAAGACAGCGCCCCCGGCCGCTTCGTCCTCCGCGGGCCGCTTCGTCCTCCGCGGGACCAGGCCACGCGCTTGCAAGCCTGAGATCGGAGCGGGAGGGAAGGCCGAGCAGGTTCTGCCGCAGGGTGCAGATTAGAACTTGCCAGCCGAGCGCTGGGCTGCGCGTGGGACCCTAAAGCGGTCCTGGGCAGGACGCGAGGGAAGCCGCACCGCAGCCGGCTCTGGACGCCCCCGCAGTGACCCGAGGTGTGCGGCGCCCTGCTGGGTGTGCAGCCGCCGGGGTCCACACCGCGGGGACCGGGACGTGGAGGGTCAGCTGATCGAAGCCGACTCCATCTTGCTCGCTGGCAGAGGGAGTCCTACACAGCCGTGGCTGAGGACTTCCTTAGCAAACACTTGATTCTCAAGAGTTCACAAAAAAAATCTAAATTATATTAACGGTGTGTGCTTTTGTTGCTTTCAAAATTACCTATGGTAGGGCCGGCGAGATAGCTCAGCGGACTAAGCGCCTGCTTTGGCAAGCTCAAGGACCAGGACTCGACCCCCAGGCACACTGAGCCAACAGCCGATTCTGGACGTGGTGGCGCTTGCCAGTAATCCCAGCGCTGAGGAGCGGGGAGGCTGAAAACAAGAGGATCGCTAGGAGTCCGAGCTGTCTAGTGAGACCCTGCACCAAAAGCAAAACAAAACAATCCTAAAAAGTACCAGCGGAAAGCCATCCACATGGTGGGATACACCTGTAGTTTCTGCTCCCTAGCATGCTAGGGCAGGAGGATTTTGCATTGTGCAGCTCTAAGCCGGCCTTGTCAACATAGTGAGCCCATGTCTCAAGATCATAACAACAATAACAATAGCTAACACTGAGAGTGCTGGGAGGGGACCCTTATCTCACGTAGCTCCTGATGAAATTCTAAGTTAAAATGGACACCTGGAACTATATTTAGACATTAATCTTGTTTTGAAATTTTAAACTATTGTTTTGGTGTTTATTTTTTTCTTCAAAACAAAATTTGAAAATAAAATAGAATAAAACAAAATAAAATGGGGGTACTATTGATTCAGCATTTCTTTTTCGGTCAGAATTTGGTATTAGCATGACAAGTGAACAGGAAAACGTGCAGTGCCAGGAAATCGGTAAAACGAGTTAGGCTTAGCTCTATCACAGACGGGCGCCTACAGCAGTGGTCAAAGGTTGTGTGAATGGGGAGGCTCTGAAAGCATCGCGGAAGGAAGCCGCTTTCCCTTAGCGGATCTGCTCGAGCCAGCTCGTGAGAACCCTAAACGCAGCGGTGATTTCCGCTGTCCTCTGAGGTCTTCACACAGCAGCAGCAGGCACTGACCTTGCTCAGCCTGCAGTATCCGCACGTGACCTCAGCCTCCTTCAAGGTCAATGTCGCAAGAGGCCGAGGCCACACACCCCAAGTTCCAAGGGACAGCTTAGGATTTGGTCCCAGACACGGACCCTGCCAGTCCCTGACTTTATGGGGCTCAGCTTTCACATTGGCTCTGGCAACGCGTGGGTTGGACCTGGGCATTTTGTGACACTAAGTGGCCAGTGTATGGCCTCCAAGAGACCTGTACCTGCAGGCCACACTCCAATGTTAGTGGGCCGACCCGGCAGTAGGGACTGGGCAAAGCTACCTACTGCAGAAGCACTCAGCTGGGTTGGGAGCTCCTTAAAAGCTGGCTGCCCTGTAATTAAACCCAATGTCACATTATGTTACAGTGCTGGGCTAGTCACAAGACCGTAGGTGAAGTGCCGTACGAGTTTAGGCACACAAGCCAGGGAGCGCTGGTGATCCATCCTGTCAGCCGAGGGGCGCTTAAGCTCTCTGCCCTAATCTCCATTTGCTAAGCATGTGCATCTACTAATTACACAGCACTGAAGAAAATCCGAGTGCACTGAGGAGTGACACCGCAGTAAATTACTTCTGGAATTCCTCTTTGCCCCCAGGGAGCGGATTTATCACTCGGTGGGACACCAGAGGAAGGCGCAGACTGTGTGGACCGTCATCCTGTGTGCAGCACCAGCAAGGGGCATATTCATCGGCAGCATGACTGTGTCCAGATTTCTTTGCAGGGTCTTTGGTCTCAGCAGAGTTTTGAGTCCAGAGACTTTGAGAAGCATATTGTCAGCCTCGACAAACAGAGCAGGGCAGAGGTGTTTGGTGGAGGCTTCTGCTTGTTTAAAAAAAAATCAGAAAGTGTGCAGAAATCTTAGTGGAATGATGAACCCGTCGGTGCCACCAGCATCACAGTGTGATTGCAGGCATTGCAGAGGTGCAGTGCCCTCCTCCATCCTGGCCTCCCGCTGCATCTGGGTGGGGGCTGCAAGCCAGGAGTGGGACCCCACTCTGCTGTCCCACCTGCTGTGGGGTCACTGATGGATCCTGGGGGACCCCAGTGCTGGTAGCTGGTGGACCGATTACTTCCGGAAGCTCAGGCCCTGAGGGCTGACATCCACTCTGTTTGCCAAGCCCAGCCCCAGGTCCCTCCTGGCTGCTCCCATCTGAGAGATTTGCTCACTTGGAGAGTGTGTATTTCTGTTACCAAAGGAATCTTGCGCTAGTGTTTGTTTGCCTCTTCCTCCCTGCTTCCTGCCTCCCACGATACCACCCTCCGCTTCAGAACTCTCCTGTTGCAGGACTTGCAGTGCCCCTGCTGGACAGTGCGGGGACAGCATCTCGGGCCACACTCCAGCTTGAACCCTGGCAGAGACCTGAGTCTCTCTTGGGAGGAAATGGCAGGGACTACATAATCCACGCTGTGAGCATTACACAGTCCCCTGGGATGGCCCTGTGCAGCCTCTATACCAAGAAGGCCACGGGCCATGCACAAACCTGTGGCCAGGGCTGGGTTCCCGTGTGCAGCTCTACTGACGGATGCAGGGGCTGGCTGCACTGGCCGAGCCTGCACTCAGGGTGCTCATTTCCAAGCTCTATGGGGAGGGAATTCCCCCGCTGGGGAGGTTGCTCCCACCTGCCTTGCTTCAGCTCTTGGGGAATCATGGCAGCCTCTTCCTTCTGTTTAGGTACTGGAGATCCAGCTCCAGTTTTATGTGGAAATGACATTCTGTGGCACACCATGGTTTGGAAGGTCCATGACTAGAGGTTGTAGGTGATGTGAGCTGCTATGGCATGGCTTTGGTTCATGGATCTGAGGGGGGCAGAGCGGCATTGAGCATGTCTTCTAGCCCAGCTCAGGATTGGTGGCCATCATATACAAAGCCCCACTGTCCACAGAGAAGGATTCATGCAAGAGTGTGTGGACCACCCAGCCTCAGGTATGCCACTCTTGGCTCATCAGCACTGGAGACCTGCCCCATGGCTTGAGGCGCCATTTGTAATGTGTCAGTCTTCACTGGGTGCAGCAGGGAAGCGGATATGCCGAGATCTCCAGCAGAGCCTGGCCTGGTGGCCACGCCTGCAATCCCAGAACCAAGGGAGGCTGAGGTAGGAGGGTCACAAGTCCCAGCCTCCCCTGGGCAATTTAGCAAGGCCCTGCCTAAAAGTAAAGATATACAAATGGCTGGAGATATAGCTCAACGCAAAGGCCTGGGTTCAATCCCCAGTACTAACAAAAGAATTACAAAGTAGAGCAAATACTGTTGATGTGTCTGTTTTTTTGCATGCCTACTGGCAAGAGGGGAAGGAGGAAAGGTGTGATTCATTGTGCATTGTTAAATGGCTTTCATGTGGGTGAATTGGAATACTTACGTCCTGTGAGAGGGAAGGTACATCAGCACAGCCACTCTGGGTGCGAAATAACTGAAAGCTGAGACTCGGACAGGTATGTACATGCCCGTGTCAACAGCCATGTGATCCGCAGCAGCCGAGGCGTTTGGGGGTCCCCAGTGGAGGGCAGACACGCAGACTCTGGGCACACAGAGGTGCCTGTATCTTGTCACCACTCAGAGTTCGGCGACGAGCAGCCAGCCCTCTCAGCTCCAGCCTCCA